TTTTTGGTTTTGGTTTCGTTTTCGTTTTTTTTTTTTTTTTTATTTGTGCGTCGAATTATGAATTACAATTGCTGGCGAGTTAAACACCGAGCGAAAGAGAATATCTCGAATAATAAATAGGATACGTTACGATGGAGCCGTGTACCGTTGAGAGTGTCATCGAGTGTACAGTTGGTTTGAATATAGAACTTGAATGTCTGCAATGTTATCATTTAATTCAATAGACGTTTTTTTTTTTATAGGAATGAAAGATTCGCAATTTTCGAATAATTTTTCCTACTTCCAGTTTCATTTTTTCATAATCAAAGGTTAATTTTAGACTTCTGAAATGAGAAAAAGTATTTTTTCACGATAAACTCTACCATAATCAAAAAGGTTTGCTTAAGTCTCCTAACGAAGAGAAAATAATTATTTCCATTTTCTCGTAATTAAAATTTCTAATAAAAAACTTTTTCTTTTTTTTAATTCAAATTTTCGTAATATAATATTTGTACGATAATTCTATTCGAGCGAATCGCATTTTAATCTCCGTTGAAATCAACCGTTGAAGGAGAGAAAGAGAAACAGAGTAACGCTTTTCTCAAATCTTTAAATGTTCCAAAAAGTCCACATCACATATTCGAATTTTGTATCGTAGCGCTATCTCGTTCCCTTCGTCTCCTCGAATAATTACCTGTTCCGGTTGGTCCACCACCTTTGATATCCGCCGCGAAATCAGTCGTACGATATTAATTCCAAGGATGGAAGAAGCAAAACGTGTCCCTCTTCCTGTGATATCCGGCTCACGTCCGCAAGGTGAAACATCAAAAATCAGCTTTTCCACGGTAACGAACCAACTCGTGGAACATTTCCCCCCTCTCTCTTCCCCTCTGACAGACAGGAAGCACGATAGTCGTGGTATCATCAGACTGAAAAAAGATACGGTGGCAAAAGGTTTTTCCTCTGCGACAGGAACTGGAAAGAGATGGTGGAAAAGAGAGGAAAAAAAAAAAGAAAAAGAGAAAGAGAAAAAGAGAGTTTCTTTGAAAGAGTTTCTCTGACTTGCAGACTCGCTTGTTTTTAGCCTTGTCCGCGAGATGGCGCGCGAGAGCAAAATGGACGAATGTTATTAAACGCGGATGTATCTCGTCGGTTGAATTATTAATCGAGGAACGCCTTCGGACGATAATGATATTTCTTCGGTCTTGTGAAATCAAGTAATGAAGAAAGAAGAAGAAGAAGAAGGAGGCTTTGAAATTTTTATCGCGAATCGGAAGTGGAAATCGAATAGAGAAGGGATTGAATCGGGATACGTAAGTAGGTGTCATTGAATAGAGTATTTATTTGATTTGGAAAGGAAGGGATAAAATTTGAATTTTTTTTTTTATGATTTAGTAATATATATAAGCGTGATTGCTGTGTAGAATTTTGAACTCAACGTATTATTATTATAAATTGGTGATGAATTTAAAATGTTTATTAATTCTAAATAAAATACAGAAGTATTGTATTCTGTCCATATTTTTTAAAGATACACGATGCAGAATATGAAACGCTTATGAAACAATTCAATGAGATAAAGCCGAACATTTTTCTGCAAATTTATTATTCTTTTCTAGTAGAATATTAAATTTGCATTGGAATGGAAATATAGAAAAGAATATCTTTTCGCGAAAAAAATTAGAATGAAAAATTTGACTTTTTGATATAAATACACGTATATATTTAATCATATCCCTTTTAAAATTTATTTAAGAATTTTTTTTACTCGCATTTTTCGTTAATATATGTTCTTACATTGTTAACATCTCTTTTCAGATCGATAACGATCAATTATTTTTTTTTTTTTCGTCTCTGCATCTGTTGTTCCTTTAACAAATAAATCAACAGTTTGTTTTCTATTT